TGGTTTTTCGAAAGGATAAACAAGATTGATGGACCCTTAGCTAGACTCACCAAGAAACAGAGAGAGAGAACCCAAATACACAAAATCAGAAATGAAAGAGGAGAAGTAACAACCAACACCACGGAAATACAAAAGATCATTAACAACTACTACGAACAACGATATGGCAACAAATTCGACAATCTAAGTGAAATGGACAAATTTCTAGAAACACACAGTCTTCCAAAACTTTTCCCGGAGAGATAGAAAACTTGAACAGACCAATAACAACTAAGGAAATTGAAGAGGTAATCAAGACTCTCACAGCAAACAAAAGCCCAGGCCCAGATGGCTTCACGGGGGAGTTTTACCGAACATTCAAAAAAGAACTAACACCCATTCTCCTCAAACTATTTCAAAAAATTCAAGAAGAAGGAAGACTTCCAAACACGTTCTATGAGGCCAGCATAATTCTAATTCCAAAACCAGAAAAAGACACTACGAAGAAAGAAAACTACAGGCCAATATCCCTGATGAACATAGACGCCAAAATCCTGAACAAAATATTAGCAAATCGGATCCAGAAATACATCAAAAAAATTATTCACCATGACCAAGTGGGATTCATTCCAGGGATGCAAGGCTGGTACAATATTCACAAATCAATAAACGTGATACACCACATAAACAAAATGAAGAATAAAAACCACATGATCATATCAATAGATGCTGAAAAAGCATTCGACAAAATCCAGCATCCATTTCTGATAAAAACGCTCAGCAATGTAGGAATACAGGGATCATATCTCGACATAATAAAGGCCATATATGAAAGACCTACAGCCAACATCATACTCAATGGACAGAAACTAAAAACATTTCCATTAAGAACAGGAACAAGCCCTGGCCAGTTTGGCTCAGCGGTTAGAGCGTCGGCCTGCGGTCCAGAGAGACCCGGGTTCGGTTCCCGCTAAGGGCATGTACCTCGGTTGCAGTTTGTCCCCGGCCCTGGTTGGTCGTGTGGGTGGCAGCCACTCGATGTGTCCCTTTCACATCGATGTTTCCCTCTCTCTCTCTTCCTCTCTCTCCCTCCCACTCTGTCTGTACAAATAAAAAAAATGGAAAATTGTCCTCGGATGAGGATAAAAAAAAAAAAAAAAGAACAGGAACAAGACAGGGATGTCCACTTTTGCCACTCTTATTTAACATTGTACTGGAAGTCTTAGCCACAGCAATCAGACATGAAGAAAAAATAAAAGGGATCCAAATTGGAAAGGAGGAAGTGAAACTGTCATTATTTGCAGATGACATGATATTATACATAGAAAACCCTAAAGACTCCATCAAAAATCTACTAGACTTAATAAATGAATTTGGCAAAGTAGCAGGATACAAAATTAATGTCAAGAAATCGACGGCATTCTTGTACACCAGTGATGAACTCACAGAAAGAGAAACTGAAAAATCAATCCCATTTACCATCGCGCCAAAAAAATTACGATACCTAGGAATAAACTTAACCAAAGAAGTAAAGGACCTATTTGCAGAAAACTACAGGTCATTGAAAAAAGAAATAGAGCAAGATATCAAAAAGTGGAAGCACATACCCTGTTCATGGATTGGAAGAATTAACATCATTAAAATGTCCATACTACCCAAAGCAATCTATAGATTCAATGCAATCCCTATCAAAATACCAACGACATAGAACTAGAACAAATACTACAAAAGTTCATATGGAACCAAAAAAGACCCCGAATAGCCACAGCAATCTTGAAAAAAAAGAACAAAGTAGGTGGGATCACAATACCAGATATCAGGTTATACTACAAAGCGGCTGTAACCAAAACAGCCTGGTACTGGCACAAGAACAGGCATATAGACCAGTGGAACAGAACTGAAAACCCAGAAATGGACCCAAGGCAATACGCTCAATTAATATTTGACAAAGGTGGCAAGAGCATACAGTGGAGTAAAGACAGCCTCTTTAATAAATGGTGTTGGGAAAACTGGACAGCTACATGCAAAGAAATGAAACTAGACCATCAACGTACACCATACACAAAAATAAACTCAAAATGGATAAAAGACTTAAACGTGACCCGTGAATCCATAAAAATTCTAGAAGAAAATGTAGGCAACAAAATTTCAGACATCATACGGAGCAAAATTTTCACTGATACATCACCTAAGGCAACAGAAATAAAGGAGAAAATGAACACATGGGACTACAGCAAACTAAAAAGCTTCTGCACAGCAAAAGAAACAATCATCAAAATGGAAAGGCAACCCACTGTATGGGAGAACATCATTGCCAATGATGTATCAGATAAGGGGTTAATATCCAATATATAGAGAGTGCTCATACAACTCAACAAAAGGAAGACAAAGAACCCAATTAAAAAATGGGCAGAGGAGCTGAATAGACACCTCTCCAAACAGGACATACAAATGGCCAAAAGACATATGAAGAAATGCTCAACATCACTAATCATCAGAGAGATGCAACTTAAAACAACAATGAGGTATCACCTCACACTTGTCAGAATGGCCGCCATCAACAAATCATCAAACAACAAGTGTTGGCGAGGGTGTGGAGAAAAGGGGACTCTAATACACTGCTGGTGGGAATGCAGACTGGTGCAGCCGCTATGGAAAACAATATGGTGCTACCTCAAAAAATTAAAAATTGAACTTCCATTTGACCCAGTGATCCCACTGCTGGGAATATACCCTAAGAAGCCTGAAACACCAATCAGGAAGAATATATGTACCCCCATGTTCATAGCAGCACTATTTACAATAGCTAAGATCTGGAAACAGCCCAAGTGTCCACCAGTAGACGAATGGATAAAAAAGCAGTGGTACATATACACAATGGAGTACTATGCAGCGGTAAGAAAGAAAGATCTCTTATCCTTTGAGACGACATGGAGGGACCTGGAAAGTATTATCCTAAGTGAAAGAAGCCAAGCAGAAAAAGACAAATACCACATGATCTCACTTATATACGGAATATAATGAACATAACAGTCTGAGGAATACAGTAGACCCAGAAACATGGAAGTAGGGCACAGACTGACATCCCTCAGAAGATGGGGTGGGGGGTGGGGGGGTGGGAAGTGATAAACCACAGAACTTATATGCATGTATGCATGACCAATGGACATGGACAACTAAGCCTGGGACGGGGTGGAGTTGGGGTGGGGTGGGGGGTGCCAATGGGGTAAAAAGGTAAAATATCTGTAACAAAAAATAAATTTAAAAATTCATTAAAAAAATAATAAAATGTGGTGGAAAAATAGCAAAAAAAAAAAAAAACTCAAGTATTTGGATATAAAAAAAACACAAACTTACTAGAGTGCTTCTTTTTCAATATTACCAACATAAACAAAAATGTAATGAGGTGAAAGCAAAGCACAACTGAGGCTTTGACACTAGTTTTTGCAGTTATTTAACTTTATTATATTTTTTTTAAATCTGAGAACTGTAAAAACATAGTATTTGTATAAACACCTGAGGACTGTTCAAATGGACACAGCATCTTCACTCAAACAATTTGAGAGAAGACCAAATTTAAATTAAAATGTTATCTTACAAAACAAAAGAAATAACATAGGTGAAATCACCCTTTAAATAGTTGCATTCTTGTATAAAGTACATTTGGTTTATTAAAAAATAAAATGTACATTCTTGCCCCTGGTGTATATTTCATTGGCATTTTCAATAAGTGGCTAATACTTTTAGCACAGATTCTTATAGCTTATAAACATTACTCCAAAGTTATACAAAATAATAACAATAAACATATAGCACCATTTCCCCCTGAAAGTTCTATTTTAAAATTAAAGCCCAAAACCGATTAAGTCAGAATTAATGCATCTTTCAAAATTTAGCAGAATAAATGGCTCAGAACTAAGCAAATTAACTCGAAACATTGCATAGGACAAAGAACTTCCCTGTATGGAAACCAATCTATGAATTGTTTCTTTTCCCCTGAAGACTAAGCTGAGAGGTACTAGTGATAGCAAACAATGCATATATTTTTTTACAGAATAAAAACGTCTAATTATATAAATAGTTTATCAATACATCTGTGGCAGTGTAAAGTGCCATATTAAATTCAAAAAGAACAGATTTAGTTCTTTGTACACGTACAGGTATAGAATAATATATAAATACGGTATAGTATCCATATGAGGAATAAACAGACAATAAAATATATATCTTTTAAAATTTTGGGCACAGTTGTCTTCAAATAGAGATGTGAGAAATGAATGCCTACTTATGTTAAGTTTTAAAACAATAGTTATTCCATTGAAAAGAATTAATCAGACTCCATCCAACCTACCCTTGTAGTATATCTCCTGCATAAAACAACTATTCTATCTAGACTATAACTGTTTGAAATTTATCAAAAACTGATAAGAACACTTCATGAAAGTTTATAAGCTTTCTTTTTTTCTTTAAATATGAACAAATACAACACATAGAGAAATAATAACAAAAGGAAAATAAGTTACATGGCTATTCCCTTTCTAGAAACTGGTAGAACACACATAGAACACTGCTATAACAGACATACAATATTTGAGAAAGAGATGATATCTGCTGTTGTATCTTTAAATTCTCTTCTAAGGAAAACTTCTCATAGATTTCATTAGAGAACTTAATCCCTGATAACTTCCCCTTTGGGATTTAGCTGTTTTGGTTCTATACATAAACATTAACAGAAATCAAAGGTGTTTCTGTTTCCTACATGAAGTATACTTGTAAACTTTATGATAAAATAATAAACTATAAAATAATAAAAGGACATAAAGAAGTTGCCAATTTGAATATACGAATTCTATTACATAAAATGGTATTTAAAGAAGTAGACTAGACTGTAATGTAGCTCTGCAATTCTGCATATACAATCTTTTCAGAAACTGTCTAGAAAACTAGAACTGCTAAGACAATAAAAATACTTTTAGATTAATAAGTTATCAGAACAACTGAGAATTATGGCTAATCTAAACTTATACATTTTTAAAATTGTGTTTCCCTTCTTTAAGTTTTTCAATGTAGTAACATAACTTTAGAGCTGGCCCCAACTTCAGTCCCATATACTTCATTACAACATCACTTTTGAGTAGTAGCAGAGCCTTCCCATCAATTTCCTACAGAGAGAAAGAAATTATAATAATTAATAATGTTTTCATATTTTGTCAAAAGTCATTTATATATAAGAACATGTAAAAGAGAGCAGCTGTACATTCCCAATATATATTCTCTGAATACACATTTATTCCCTGGTAACTATTTAAAATATAATTTATAGAGTAAAGCATCATTTGACAATTTTTAAATTCACTTCAAATTTTAAGAAAAAGGATATTTAACCCAGTATCTTTTTTAAAAAATGGCCTAAGCATCAAACTATCTAATTGTAAATAGTGTGTGTTGAATAAAATACTACATTATCTGTGGCAAAGGTCGGAAACCTGTAAGCGGTAGAAATGAATTTCAGACGATCATTAACTTTCTTAGAAAGGCTGGGAATATGAGTATGTCAGTATCAACGCAAGCTGTAAATGTGGTATACAGTGTTGTATTTATTTTGAAAGCTAATCGGTTAGTTATAATAAGTAATTTTCTTACAATATTGAAAAGGATACATCAGATATTTGGTCACAAATATGATTTATTAGAAAATATTATAAACATATTATCTAATAGACATAAGGCATCCTCCTAAAATTCTTTATTGCCTTAATTAACCACTTTATATCACAGAAGCATATTTGGTATTCATGAGTTCTTAGTTAAAATAAAGCTGCACTTAATCTTATACAGTTGCTGAATTCATTGGGCATCATAACAAGATGGACACCCTGTTACAGCTTGTGGTCACCCCCTCCTACTCATGGTCCTGGGGCTGAGCAGGGAGCAGGTGGGGAGGAGGATCCTTGTAGATGTCGTTACAAAGGAGAAGATACCTGAGTGAGTGACCATGTTGAATCATCTTCTCTTGAGAACTTGAAGACTTGTAGTATTTTAGGTACTCGGGTACCCATTTAAAGCACAGATCCAGCCTCTACCACTTAAGGATCTAACTTTGAGCAAAGTAACCTTTCTCACATATGGAAAAATCAGTTGATAGGGCTCCCCACCATCCACACTAATCAGCATCCAACTGAAGAGCCTGCACAGAGGTCATTCAAAGGCAGGAAAACCGGATCAAAAGATACATTACATGTTGCCTGAAGAGGTCGGCGAGGGGGCCTGATATCTGAGGATCTTTATGTTTCATAAACTGTATCACTTCATCCACACACCAGGTTGAAGGGTCCTTAGAGAAGCCTTGCTTCAGGACACTGGGGTCAGGTACAGCTATATAACTTGGAGCTTCAATGGGGGGAAAAAAGACAAATCATACTTGACCTGATCATTACCCTGAAAGAAGAGATGTTAGGTACGGAGTAATGGTCTCATTCCTGGAACGATCTGCTAGGTACCCCGGCAAGGACCCAGGACTCCAAGTGTAAAATCCAGTGAAAGCTTAGATAAAGATGACGTGAGGATGGGTACCCACAAGCATCCCATCTGACTGCCCACGAACAACAAAAGCAGCTTCAGAAGTTATTGTAAAGCTTCAAAGTTCATAAAACAGGCTGAGCAATCCGAGGTCTCTTTGGCCACAGGCAAATACAGCAAAAAATCTGTTGGTTGGGTTAAATTAGGTTAATCTAAGCTAACCTACCACTCTTTACAAGTATTTCAATGAATTTCTCTCAATATTTCTCCTCTTGGTCTGTCTAGATTAGGTTTATTTTACTAGCTAAATACAATGAAAATTTCCCAATTTTAGTTTTATAATGGCTTAAAATTTATTAACTTTAATCAATGAATTTCAATAACCCCCATTATCTTTGAGAAGAATCGAATTCGTTCTTTTACTAAATCTCTCCCATGTATTCAATATGGATATTTTTAGCATTGCTTTATTTAAATTCCTGTCTCTCAAGGCTCAAACAATTATCTGAATTTTGAAGAAAACAAGATTATTTTCTGCTTAGCTAGGTCAGAAGTTACTTTAATATTATATTGAGATATTTATTATTGAATACCTTTCAAGTTTAATTGCACAATAATAAATTTTTGGTTGGTTTATATGTTGAAAAAATAAGTAACTGAGACACGAAACAATTGAAGTACTCATACCTCAAAAAGTTTTAGCTGTGATATTCAGTAAGTCATGCTGAAATTTCTCTATGACTAGACAAGTATTCATTTTCTCAGCCAGACCACTCAACTCTCTATAGTGTGTGATAACAAAAGTGTTTTTTTTATTTTATTTTTAATTGAATTTATTGGGGTGACATTGGTTAATAAAATTATACAGGTTTCAGGTATACAATACATCATCTATATATCGTGTAATTTGCTAGGAAGATTTATATTATGTCTCTAACAAAGAACCATCAATACAAATTTTATCTTTGTTTTTTTGCATGAATTATCCAAAGGTGTACCTTTTCTTTCCTATTATCTGGACTCTGGCTATTTCAGAACATTTTGAGTATTTACTGAGGGGGAGGGCAAAGAAAACAAGATAAAAGAACTTACAATGGTCAATTTTTTATGTGTAGCTTAGAATTTTTTTTTTTTCAATATTGCAATTTTGAGATGAAATAAAAGCCCTTTACTAAAATATATCTTCCTCTTCCACTTGTCAGAGATTAAAATGTTGGTCACATCTACCAAGAAATGCTACTGGACTGAATCAACCGAGGTAAAAATGATGATGGTGTATGCAATGACTAAGGTATTCTAATAACTTAGAAAGGTTTTTAACTCAAGACAGACTCAATTTAACATAAACTTATTGGCAAGGCGACTCATACCACTAAATTAACTTATGTCTTGTGGTATTTTCTAGTTTCTTGTCACAGTCTCTGGTATAGTTATGTCCTTTTTTTCCCATTTACAATTTACTAGTTCTTCCAGTGTTCCAGAGTGATAAGGGAGTTTCTTTTTTTTTTTTTTTTTTTATCCTCACCCGAGGACATTTTTTTGATATTTTGTTCAGATAGAGTGGGAGGGAGAGAGAGAGAGAGAAACATCGATGTGAAAGGGACACATCGAGTGGTCGCCACCCACACGACCCAACCGGGGCCAGGGACAAACTGCAACCGAGGTATGTGCCCTTAGCGGGAACCGAACCCGGGTCTCTCCAGACCACAGGTTGACGCTCTAACCGCTGAGCCAAACCGGCCAGGGCTGATAAGGGAGTTTCAATGATCTTACATGATGAATGGAACAAAAGATGGACTTATACTGAACAAATGTCTGGATTGAATTAGACTATTGTAGTTTTCCGGTCTACTGGTAATGAGAGGCAGTTTTCCAAACAGGCGATCTAGTAGTTCAGAGGCAGAATATAGTTACATACTTTTTGTTGTTGTCTATTTCTGTTTTGTTTCTTTATTTTGTTTTTTTTTAGATTCCACATGTAAGTGAAATCATACGGTATTTGTCTTTCTCTGTCTGACTTGTTTCACTTAGCATAATACCCTCTAGGTCCATCCATGTTATTGCAAATGGTAAGATTACATTCTTTTTTATGGCAAGTAATACTCCATTATATATATGTAAACTTGAATAACATATAACTAGTTTTACAGATTACTACAGATGAACTATAAGTAAAGATATGATTTCTAGTATACAAATGTAATATTATATTAAAATAAAACAATCTATTTTTACTCTATTACGGGAAAATAATTAGGCCCATATGTTCAAAACAATCAGAGAAGGTTGCAAACATTACATTAGTGTTATTCAAATAATTACATGAAACAAACTAACTATGTAAAAAATAAAGTCCAGCCATGCTTTTCTCCTGAATAGCTGTGTTTTCTATAGATTAGAATATCAGTAAATATTTCTGAAATAAATAAAGTGAAAGTGATTTGACTTTTATCCCCAACAATGTTATTGAATTTCTTTCCTATAATAAAAATCAATAATTTATTTCATTCAAATAATGGGGCAGGGAAGGAGGTTGTGTGAGCATCACCATCAATCCAAAGGGCTGGAACTTAGCTTTAAGTAACAGTTCCAATACCTTAAAGAAAAGAATAATAATGATACCTCTAGACAGTTTCCAAGTGAAATGCTTACCTATTCTCTGGAGATGTGAGCAGCACAGTGGTTAAGAGTATGACCCTGGAGCCAGAGTGCCTGAGGTCAAGCACTGGCCCAGCCACTTTCACCTGTCAAGTGACTACTCAGATTTTTCACCTAAAAATGTTTACCAGCACCCTTCATCTCAAGAAATTATTAAAAAGATATAATGTATAATGGCTATGCAAAATATCATGTGCCCGGCACATAATGTCAGATAGTGATGAAGATAATGATTTTTATTTCTATTAAGTAACTACTAGTAAGTAATATTATAACTATTATTCTTTCCACTCCTAGGAAGACCAGCAGGTAGCCTTCTCAAGTCCCAATACAGGCTACTTGGGCATGGTGGTGCTAGGAACACATTTGGAAGTAAGATACTCAGCATTAAAGGCAGCCTTCTAGAGCCTTTTACTAAGAAGGCCTGTCTTCAAAAGCTCATATCCTATGAAATACCTAAAAATTAGAGTACACTACTCCTTTATAGAATAAACATCTATCTTCAGACTCTCTGCAAACATCACTCTGAAAGTAGAGACAATCTACACAAAGGCAATCTTTAGCATCTGTAATGGCTTGGCCCTGACAATGATGTGGAGATGACCCGACCTCCACAATTTGGCACTTTCTTCAGTGTGATACACTCTCAGTGGATGTTATTGAACATGAAAACCTTAAGGGGAAAGAGAAACACACTGATTTAAAATCACTGTTTTTAAATATACCTTCACTGCTGTTCTGCGTTTGGAATTCATTGGGACTGCTCTCGGTAGGTAATGCAGACACCAGTGCTGAAGTTGAGGAGACTGGCACACCTTCAGAAAAATTCTTGGAGACTGTAGCATCGGTGCTGATAGTATCTCCACTGGCAGGATTCAAAGAACTTTCTGGATTTAGTAATGAATCCTTGGACTCTTCAGGAAGCTTCTCCTCTCTGGGCATGCCAGTTCCCTCAGAAGGCAATAGTTCTTCTACCAAAAAAAAGACAAAGGCAATTATCTTCAACATACTTATACTTCAAATACTATTAAAAAGTAAAAAAATCTCCTAATCTCCAACAACAATTCACTTAAGTCATGCTATACTAAACCAAAAACTTTTAACACAAAGTATGTGGTCATGCCCTTCTTGGTGTTTACAGTAATGGACACTGTCTTGAAATCCAAATTTATTCTATGACATCACCTACAGTTCTCATGGCAACCATCCCTTGCCACCAAGGCTGTAAACACCTCACTAAAGCATTCATCTTTAGAAATGCCATTCTTCACAACTATTTGTTATAATATGATCACACAGTTGATTTCAAAAATTCACTTAGTACTTGGGCACTTAAAACTTTCACTGGAGAAACTGACAGATCTCAGAGGGAAGAGGCTTGTGGGGGACTGGAAGAAGGCTGGGGAGATAGGGGCTGGGAAAGGGGAGTAAAAGGGGGTAAAGGGGGACATCTATAAGAGTGTCAGCAATTTTTAAAAAGAACCAAAAATAAATAAAACTAATTGACAAATTCAGTCAAGTTGCAGGATATTAAATAAAAAAAACAAACAAACATTAAGTTGCAATGGTTTTAAAAAAACATATGGTGATTGCCAGAGGGAAGGGGGGTGGGGGAAAGTAGAAGAAGGGAAATGGGGGATGGAAGAAGACTTGACTTGGAGTGGTAAACATATAATGCAATACACAGAAGATGTATTATAGAATTATATATCTGAAACATATATAATTTTATTAACCAATAAATTTAATTAAAAAAACTTTCACTGGAGAAAGGTACTATGTTTTTCTACTCTTTTTATAAGCTTTTGGCAGTATAAAGTGGAATGAAAAAATTTACTGTACTTGTTTGTTTTTAATCTAAGGAGAAACAACAACTGTGCCCTTCTGAAGGGAATGAAGTACTCAACAAAGCTGCCAAAGTAATAGCCTAATTGCCAAAATGATTTAGGCAAATATACCCCCTACCCCCAACACCACCATCCAAGAGCATACATAAGTGGTATAGAATGATTTTTCTTCATAATCTTGGAACATATAAATACTATTTACCTTGAAAGGCATGCATCTCTGTTTTGGGGAGCTTAGGAGAGACAGGAGCAACATCAGATAGAGGTTGCTCAGAAGGTCTCTTGCTGGTTTGTTTTTCGGTTACATCTTCCTCCACTGTTTTCAAAAAAGATGTCAGTTATAACTAAAATATTCTATCATTTCCATATCATAAGCATAAAGCACTTGTTTCTAAATAATTTTCCTTCTATGACTTCATCAACAATTTATCAATTATTTGTTTATGAATAACATGTTCATTTCATCCTATTAAATATTACAGTGACATCATATTCAAGAGTTTAAAGCATTATGTCTAGGCTCTATTTATTCTAGGGCCATCAAATATCTCTAAATATCTCAGGAGGCAGTGAGGCAACCAATTATAATGGGTCTAAAAAGGCCTGGGAAAATTGTTCCCATGAGCAAGAAAAGTTAAGAATTCATAGTAGTTAAGGAGAATATAGGGTACAATGAACACCCCATTTTATCAGCAATAATCCTGGCCTACAGCAAATGTTACAACAAAGCTATCGCTTATTTTTCATTCAACCAAATGCATTTCTAGCTAAAGGACCACTCTTTAAGGCATGATCATGACAGTAAAGACAACTCAAATTATCAATTATACTCTAAATATTAATCAATATCTTGATTTAACCTCCAACTACAAGGAAAAATAAAGTATAATATAAATATAAAAAGTCTGATAATAAACCTCAAGAGAGAAGAAACACTGCAATGAGAAAGTACCAAGGTCAAACTTCATCTGGTTCAAAATGGCTGGAGGCCAAGGCATATCTCTCAAAATCATCTGATGAGCAACTTTTAGCTATCTAGTCACTGACAGACTAACAAATCTAAGAGAGCTATTACCACTTGATTTTATTTTTAATCGTGAACTATAAAACCAACAGGTAAAACTATTTTGGTGAATGACAAGTGTTTCTACAATTAGAACATTTAAATTATAAGAAAAGAAATAACTGACTTTTTCCATACCCATTTAATGATAAAGAAAATTTAAAAACAAGTATAATTCTCTATAGCTGTTTCTTTATCTCTGAATCTTAGCAATATCAGAAAAAGTATTTACTTATCTTTTACTTGTAATGTTCTAATGCTTTCTGTATGAAAAGTTTATGAACTGGTGTATGGTCTACTATCTGGTACTGATACAAACATAAAATGGACTCCTGATTTCTGCTTCTGGGTATTATACTAAGCTCAGGCATAAAACTGTTCCTGCAAAGATAACTAGAAAAAGCCAGATAATTTTTAAAAAATACTTCAAAAGGTCGTCATAGAGAGGCACTTCCAGGGTGACTGATTAAAGACTTGTGAAAATCCACACCCTCATAAAAATAATGAAAACATTAGCAAAATCAATTTTTCAAAACTCTGGATATTAACTAAGGGATTACAACAATCCAAAAAGCATATATTCAAGAAAAAATGGCTGAAACTCAGAACAGCAAAGCCTGTTGCATTTTAGCTTTCCTAATATCATCCTCTTCATCCTAATTTTGTAGCAGACTTGCAAACACCTGCACAACTATAGTAGCTATGAAAACCAGTAGCCTAGCAATCACTGGAGAGGACACAATGGGTTTGTAGCTCTCCAACAGCCCCAGCACCAGAGAACTGTCACTATTTGAACACTCTTGCAGATAACTGAACAACTCTGATCTCAGGATTTCTTTTATTTGACCTGAACCTGCTCTGTCTGAACAGCCCTATCTCCAAGGCATTGGTTAAAAAAAATAACCATTCGCAATTATTTAACATTACAGCTGCCTGAGGCAGCAGTACCAGTTGTGGCAGATAAGGTAACCAAAAAGCCTGAAAGGAAAAACTGGAGAATAAGATGTCCATTAGGGTGAAAAGCACTGAGATATTCCTGGGAATCTAGATGAACCTACACATGCTCAAAGTAGAGAGAAGGCCCTAATATTTGATTTCTTACTGGCCTTGAGACTCTGCACAAAGCAGATTTGTAAACTGCCTCCTGGAGTGTTGAAGGAAAGTCCCAACACTCACACACAAAACCCCTTGGCAAAGGCTGGGAGACACAGTTCCAGACATTTAAGGAAATCCCTGTCCAATCATTAGCTGACTACTAAGCTAACTGAGCAGACTTCAGTAGCCGTACATGACTAAATTAGCCCAGGAAAAGTCATTAAATTAGTCCAGGAAAGTCACTAAACAAACAGCACCTGGAACAATAAACCCTATAGATGGGGAGTAAATCTAATTATCAGAGTTGCTGCATTATGTAATTTTAAAATGCCCAGTTTTCAATTAAAAAATTAGGAGACATGCAAAGATAAAAAAAAAAAAAAAGTATGGCCCATATTCAGGAGAAAAAGGTCAATAGAAACTGCCTCTGAGGAAGCCCAGACACTGGACTTACTAGACAAAGACTTTAAATAAGCTATTTTGTATATGTTCAAAAAAACATATCAAAAATCATTAAAATATTTAAAAAACCGTCTAAAGAATTAAAGAAAGGTATGAGAACAATGTCTCACCAAATAGAGACTATCAATAAAACAATAAGTAGTGAAAAGAAATTTGGGACTTTTATAAAAGTGTAATAAATGAAATGAAAAAGTTCACTAGAGGAGCTAAACAGGAAGTTTGAATTAGTAGAAGAAATAAAAAATTTAAAGAAAGGTCAATTGAGAGTATATAGTTTGATGAATTAAAAAAATAATGAGGAAAAATGAACAGATGTCAGAGATCTATGGTACACCATCAAACATAACAAAATAATGGTAGAATCCCAGAAAGAAAGGAGAGAAAGGGGCAGGAAGAATATTTGAAGAAATAATAGGCCCTGGTCAAGGAGCTCAATTTGTTGGAGTGTCGTCCTGATGCGCCTGGTCAGGGCACATACAAGAATCAACCAATGAGACCTGGCCAGTGTGGTTCAGCAGTTAGAGCATTGGCCTGCACACTGAAGGGTCATGGGTTTGATTCCCAGTCAAGGGCACATAACTGAGTTGCAGTTTCAATACCCAACCCCAGTCAGGGTCATGTGGGAGGCACTCAATCGATATGTCTCTTTCACACAGATGTTTCTCTCTCTCTCCCCCTCCTTCCCTTCTACTCTGTCTAAAAAAATAATCAATGGAAAAATAACCTTGGGTGAGGACTAACAAAAATAATCAACCAATGAATGCATAAATAAGTGGAACAACAACTCTATCTCTCTCTCTCTCCCCCTTTCTCTCTCTCTCTCTCTCTAAATCAATAAATAAAACTTAAAGGACAAATAATGGCTAAAAGCTTCTAATTTGATGAAAAATATTAACCAGCATATCAAAAAAGCTCAACAATATCCAACAAAAATCAATTCAAAGATATTCACACCTAGAAAAAACACAAACTGTCGCCCGGCTGGTATGGCTCAGTGATTGAGCATCGACCCATGCATCAAGAGGTCGCTGGTTTGATTCCCGGTCAGGGCACATGCCCAGGTTGTGGGCCCAGCCCAATCCCCAGTGGGGGACATGCTGGAGGTGGCCAATCAATGTTCTCTCGGCAATGTTTCTATCTCTTTCTCCCTCTCTCTTCCTCTCTAAAAAAAATAATAATAATAATGATAAAGAAAAAAAAACACAAACTGTCAAAAGCCAAAGAAAAAAAATATTTTTGAAGTCAACAAGAGAAGGCAAATCATCACATACAAGAAAGCCTCAATATGATTAGCAACTAACTACAAACTACAGAAGGAAATGGGATGACATATCCAAATTGCTGAAACAAAAAGATGGTCAACCAAGAATTTTGTATTCAGCAAAACTAACCTTTAAAAAATACAGGGGGAAATAAGAAATTCTCCATAAACAGAAACTGAGACTCTTCTTGTAAGCAGTCTGAGGTGACATCTGAAAACATTTTGCTATTCACCTGATCCAGAAAACCCCACAAAATCATGCAAATTAAGAAGTTCAAATCTTCTAAGAATCCTTGTGAAACTACTCAAGCAATCAAGGATACATATATCCAAAGACCCACCAAGTACCTAAAGGACGTCACTTTACAAGAAGCAATGTATACCATTCTATCGTTACAACAGTGGAGTTGGTAGGAGTGTCCAGGTCAAACAGTGGGGCTGGATGCAGGATCGGTGGTCCAAAGAGTGCTGAATTTTTGCTGAACAGGCTTTATTTTACTTTATTTTTTACTTTATTTATTTTTGTTACAAATGTTTCTCCTTTTCCCCCCATTGGAACATGCTTTAAAATGCAGAGAATAATGTTGAACCTAAGGGTTTAGCTCTAGATCTCTAGCCACTGAGAATATCCAGGTGAAAAAATCTCCCAAGATGTGACACAGAAATCACAGATATCATGGGCATACATGAGCTCTCCCTGCCACACGGAGATGATACTTACTGAAAAAGAACAAATTGTTCCTAAACCAGAAGAGGAGGTTGTAAAGAAATAAAAGATCTTCCAGAAGAAACAAAAACTAATGGCCCAGGAGTAAATTCAGCATCAAATAAATTCTAATAAAAGTTTTAAAAAACAGAGAATTCCTGAATTGCAGAGCTACAGTACAAGAATTACTAAAGGGACCTAGACTCCTTTAATTTGAAATTAAATGACACTAGACAGCCCTGGCCCACCAACAGAAGGGTCATGGGTTCAATCCCAGTCAAGGGTATGTACTTGAGTTGCAGGTTCATGCAGGAGGCAACCAATTGATATGTGTTTCTCACATCGATCTCTCTCTCTCCCTTCCTCCCTCCCTCCCTTCTACTCTCTCTAAAAATCAATAGAAAAAACATCCTCGAGTGAGGTTCACAAGAACATAAAAATAAATAAAAGACACTAGACAGTACAAAAGTCCCCTCTTACCTGAGGGGAATACATTCCAAGACCCCCAGTGGATAACTGAAACCATGGACAGTATCAAACTCTATATATACAATGATTTCTCCTATACATACATGATAAAGTATGTATAGGAAAAGTATACAAACTATGATAAAGTTTAATCTATGAATTAGGCACAGTAAGAGATGAACAACAATGACTTAATAAAATAGAACAATTTTAACATACTACAATAAAAGTTATGTGAATATGGTCTCTCTCTCAAAATACCTTATTGTTCTGTACTCACCCTTCTTCTTCTTGTGATGATATAAGATGATGCAATGCCTACGTGATGCGATGAAGTGAGCAGAATGACGTAGGCACTGTGACGTAGCATTAGGCTACTATGACTTACTTGAACACACACAAGCACTGCAATACCATGACAGTAGAGCTAATAACCAAGATGGCTACTAAGTGACTAATGAGCAGGTAGTATATACACTGGATAAAGAGATGATTTGTGCCCCAGGTGAGTCAGAGCGAGATTTCATTATGCTACACAGAATGATTTGCAATTTAAAACTTAAGAATTATTTATTTCTGGAATTTTTATTTTAATATTTTTGGACTGCAGTTGACCATGGGTAACTGAACCATGGATAAGGAGGCTGTATTGATAGTTTATGAAATCATATATAAGTAAAGATACCTTTAACTACTGTATAAAGTAAAACATCTGTTGTGCCAAAAAAAAAAAAAACGAAATGAAAATTCAAATTAGTTCAATGACCTAAATAAGACAGCTATAAAATTCCTAGGAAACAACATAGAAGTAAATCTTTGTGAACTTGTATTGAAGGAATGTTTCCTTAGATGTGACACCAAAAGTACAAGAAACAATAGAAAAAAATAAATAAATTGGACTTCATCAAAATTAAACACATTTTTACTTCAAAGGACACCATCAAGAAAGTGAAAAGACAATCTACAGAATGAAAGAAAATACAGGGTGGAGCAAAAGTAGGTTTACAGTAATGAGTATGAGAAACAGCATTTATTCTTTTATTATTATTTATTATTGTATTATTTTCCATATGAACAACTATAAACCTACTTTTTCTCCTCCCAGTATATGTGAACCATATATCTGATATGGAACTTGCATACAGGATATATAAAGAATTGTTTGTATATTAATTACACATATATATAACAAGAATATATACTATACAAATATACATATATAATAAATATAAATATATATAATAAAGAATAAACCTAACTGAAAATGGGCAAATGAGTAGAATAGATATTTCTCCAAAGAAGATATACAAATAGCCAATAAGCACATAAAAAGATGTTCAACATGCAAATCAAACCACAATGAGATACCTTTCAGGTTTTGATTCACAAGTTCATACAATAAGAAATTACTTTCTCACTTTAATTTTTTTTTCTTCATTGATTTTAGAGAGGAAGGGAGAAGGAGAGAGAGAAACATTGATAAGAGAGAACATCAATTGGCTGCCTCGGGGATGGGGCCCACAACCTGGGCCTGTGCCCTGACCAGGAATTGAACTGGCGACCTCTCGGTGCATGGGTCAAGGCTCAACCACTGAGCCACACCGGCAGGGCTACTTTCTCACATTAAATGAACAAAAACAACTATGTATTATCCATGTCTAATTACCACTGTAGATAAAATGTTTACTCTGAGGAGGACACAAGGAAAAACTGAATTAAAGAAGATTATTGAGTCAATGATAAATTGTAATATAAAACAGAAGCACAGCCCTGGCCAGTGTGACTCAGTGGATTGAGCATCCTCCCATGGACTGAGAGGTCCCAGTTCGATTCTCAGTCAGGGCACACGCCCAGGGTTGTGGGCTTGATCCCCAGTAGGGGGCGAGCATGAGGCAGCTGATAGATGTTTCTCTCTCACACTGATATTTCTATCTCTTTCACCCTTCCTTCCCCTCTCTCTCTCTAAAAATCAATGAAAACGTTTTTTTTTTTAAATAGAAGCATAGTATAACATTTTACATGTTCTCTTACCTGGTTTATTTTTATCATCCTCTGCAGTACTATGAGTATTACCTCTGTTAGCACTAAAAGGCTGACTACTCAAAAGGTTACCACACTGCAGGCTGTGGCACATGTTTTCAAGAAAGCGAAGAGCAAATGATGCACTGTTCACTGGAGGGAGTTGGATGGAATGAGTTTCCCCATCAAAGAAGGCTATTGAAAATAATTATGTCATAGTTACATCACAGAAAGATGAGAACTACAATACCAAAAAAGCCATCAATTTAGGAAATGCAATATAACTCTAATTTGTGGGGTTTTGTAATTTACAAAGGAATAATCTTAAATTATAAAAGTTCCTCTCATTAAAACACAATGGCCTGTATTTGTAAAATTATTATCATTATAAAAAGGGGACAGGACATCTGTAAAACTCTCAACAATAAACATTAAAAAATATTCATAAAGTAAACAAGAGAAACCCACTGATCTATGACAATACTTTCTACTATTTCAAACAGTCCATGGATACAAATGTGGTAGTATCTGGTCACAAAATCATGAAAGCTGTATTATGCTCTCTTAATAACTTCGAGTCATATTTTTATTTAGAGCTTCTTATAAATCAGTTTGTTTTCTAAAAAAAATTAAAATGTATTATCAACCAAGGTGCTTGGTATATAGTAAGCTTAACAAAGCATGTAAAAGGAAAAAAAAATCTGTATCTTTTATCTCAATTTATAGTATTACTCTGATATTGTGTATTTTAAAAGTAAAGTTAAACTTTCCAAACTGGGTTAAAAGTCTATAAACTATTATAAATATTCTCTTATATCAATATTATCAACAATTAATAAACTAGAAACATAAAATGATCTACATATTATAAAATGTTTGCCTTCTAAAAACTGAAAATCAAATTAGGAAAAACTCTGATAAAAAATTAGATGAGAGAAGATGGTGGTGAGCAGGACCGGAGGGAGGGTGAGTGTGGGAAAGAGTGAGCTAGTGTGTGAGAGTGTGAGTGGACGTGAGGGTGGATGATCAAACTCCTGCAGTGCAGAGACGTGGAGCAGAAGGTTCCTGTGCTGTGGACGGGAGCAGCCGGCAAGCATGGTAAGTTGCTCTTCAGGGTGCTTCTCCCTGCGCCGAGAGGAGGTCCCACCATTTTGGAAGATCCCGGATCTTCCCTGGGAGGAAGCAGTGGGAGCGGCTAGGGCCCAGCAACCTCAGCACACCAGCGCACCTGGCACCATTGGACCAGTGGACACTCTGTGTCACCACACCAGTACACAGTAGTGGAGCTCCCAAGGTGCCAGTCCCGGAAGCCACTGACAGCCGGGAACCCAGCACCATCCCCCACAGTAGCAGCCCGATCAGAGTTGAGATATACCCCCAGCAACAGAGGCTGGAGAGCAGACATCCATCCCCAGGCAACAGAGAAGCACAGACCACCAGCTGAGACCCATCCCCAAAAACTACAGCAAAAGCTGAGCAGTTGAGCCCCATGGGGCAGCAGCACTCCCCAGCTACCAGCGGCAGGACCTGGGGCTCCACAGAGGCCTGTGTGGTCCAGCAGCTCACAAGAGCAGTGGGAAGCCAGAGCCCCAAAGGGACTGGTGCGATCCAGCTGCCCTTGGGTCTTGCAGGGTGCTGAGACACCAGAGAAGCCTGTGAGAACCAGCAGCCCACACGATAGGCTTAGAGGATGTGAAAATGGAGGCAGAGTGAATGGAACCTACACAGACGATCTCCCAGGACCAAATGGGAATTACAACTAAAAAAAGACAAATCCTCAGAATAATGCAACAGAACAGAAGGACAGGACAGGACCATATAACCAGAGACACTGGTAGGATCTGCGGAGGTACGAGAGGGTGGCGGGCTGGGAGCACACGGACAGCAGCAGTCTTAGCTGTGAGCAGTGCCCTTGGGGAATAAAGACCAAGCCCGCTCCACAGCTCAGAGAACATGGACAGAGCACTAAAATAGCCACAGCCACTCACCTGAAGGAGGGCAAACTGGGCTAGAACTCTGTGGGGACACCCGGGATTTGGAGGGCACTCAGAGTTTTTGCTGAGTTGCAGCCACAAAGGACGGTGGCCAGTGTGCTCCTTTACAGAGCTATGATTCAGCCTTTCCCAGGTGAGGCAAAGAAATGAAAATCGAGGCTAATTAACAACCAGCATCTATCCTCTGCAAATCCTCTTATGCAGAACACCAGGGCTACATTCCAAGGCACTATGTAAATGAGACTACTAGCCTCCAGGAAAAAGCTAGAGGATATATGAACCTTTCCTGGGCTTGCAAATCTACCCAGGAAAGTAAGACTTGACAGTGGTGTTTAATGTGGGCCCACCCAGGCTCATCCAAACCCGGTTGAGGGAGCCACAAACAGTAGAACACCAACACCCACAGGGAAAATTTGGCAGGCTCCCAAATCCACTGAGATAGCCAAAATGGTGAAACAAAGAAACAAATCCCAAAGGAAAGAACAAGAGAACTTATCCAAGATGAGATAAATGAAATGCAGTAAAGCAAATTATCAGAGGTAGAGATCAGAGCCATGATCTTGAGGAAGCTCAACAGCATGAGTGAGGACATCAGCACCATGAGTAAAGATATAGAAACATTGAAAACCAACCAAGTGGAAATGAAGAATGAATAGCAGAAATAAAGAACACATTGGGGGGGAAACAGTGGGAGAAAAAGGAGAAACATCTGTAACAAAAATTAATTAATAATAATAAGAAAAAAAAGACGGACAACAACAACAGAAAAGAACACACTGGAAGGACTAGCAAGCAGAGTAGAGGAAGCTGAGGACCGGATCAGTGAATTAGAAAACAGGGTAGAAAAATCAATGAATCAAAAAACCAAAAGGAAAAAAAAAAAAAAAAAACAATTAAAAAACAGGAAGATAGCTTAAGAGAACTGTGGGACAACTGGAAATGTAATAACATTTGCATCATAGGAGTCCCCGAAGAGGAAGAAAGTGGGCAAGGGATAGAGAATATATTTGAAGAAATAGTGACAGAAAACGTTCCTAACTTGGTGAAGGAAGACAGCATTCAAGTTCAAGAAGCACAGAGAGCCCCAAGTAAGAAGAACCAAAACAGGCCCACACCAAGACACATAATAATTAAAATGCCCAAAATTAAAGACAAAGAGAGAATCCTAAAGGCAGCAAGAGATAAGCAACAGGTTACCTACAAAGAAAACCCCATAAGGCTCTCAGCTGACTTCTCAACAGAAACACTACAGGCCAGAAAGGAGTAGCATGAAGTAATCAAGTTCATGAAAAACAAGGATCTCAATCCAAGACTACTCTATCCACCAAGGCTATCATTCAAAATAGAAGGTCAAATAAGGAGATTTCCAGACCAAAAAAAAAAAAAAAAAATCTGAAAGGAATATATTAACAACAAGCACACACTGCAAGATATGCTCAAAGAACTGCTGTAATTAGTAGACAAAACAGGAAGAAAGGTAGAACCACACTAAACAAAAATGGCAATAAATAAGTACATATCAATTATCCCTTAAATGTGAATGGTTTGAATGCTCCAATAAAAAGAAACAGAGTAGCTGACTGGATAAGAAATCATGACTCACATATATGTTGTTTACAAGAGACCCACCTCACAACAAACAACTCACATAGGTTGAAAGTGAAGGGATGGAAAAAAATCTTTCAAGCAAACGAAAAAGAAAAAAAAAAGATGGGGTAGCAATACTCATATCTGATAAAATAGATTTCACAATGAAGGCCATAACTAGAGACAAAGTGGCCACTACATAATATTGAAAGGATCTATCCAACACGAAGATATAACCTTGGTAAACATATATGCACCCAATATCGGAGCACCAACATGTATTAAAAATCTTCTTGCCCTGTCAGGTTTGGATCAGCAGTTAAAGCGTCGGCCTGCAGTCCAGAGATAACCGGTTCGGTTCCCGCTAAGAGCGTGTACCTCAGTTGAAGTTTGGCCCTGGCCCTGGTTGGTCGTGCAGGTGGCAGCCACTCGATGTGTCCCTTTCACGTCGATGTTTTTCTCTCTCTCTACCTCCCACGCTATCTGAACAAAAAATGGAAAAAAAGTGTCCTCGAGTGAGGATGAAAAAAAATAATAAAATAAAACTAATAAAAATCTTCTGGAGGACTTCAAAGGACAAATCAACAGCAATACAATCATAGCAGGGGACTTCAACACCCCGCTGACACCATTGGATAGCTCCTCTAGACAAAAAATTAACAAGGAAACACAGACTCTAAATGAAGTGCTAGATTAAATGCATTTCATAGATATCTACAGAGAATTACATCCCAAAACTGCAGAATTCACATTCTTCTCAAGTGCACATGGGAAATTCTCAAAGATAGACCACATGTGAGGGCACAAATTAAGTCTCTACAAGTTCAAGAAGATTGAAATCATATCAAGCATCTTCTCAGATCACAGTGGCATGAAACTGGAAATCAATGACAACAAAAACATGCAAAGACATTTGAAAACATGGAGGCTAAATAGCATGTTATTTTAAACAATGAACGTGTTACCAGGGAGATCAAGGAAGAAATTAAAAACTTCCTGGAAACCAATGAAAATAAACATACAACAACACATAATCTGTGGGACGCAGCGAAAGCAGTTCTGAGAGGGAAGTTCATAGCACTACAGGCCTACCTCAAGAAACAAGAAAAAATTCTAATAGAGTATCTAACCTCACAACTTAAAGAACTAGAAAGCAAACAAAGAGAAAACCCCAGAGAAAGTAGAAGGAAGGAAATAGTAAAGATCAGAACAGAAATAAATGACATGGAGACCAAAAAACAATTCAAAGGATCAATGAAACAAAGAGTTGGTTCTTTGAAAAGATAAACAAGATTGATGGACCCTTAGCTAGACTCACCAAGAAACAAAGAGAGAGAACCCAAATACACAAAATCAGTAATGAAAGAGGAGAAATGATCATTGACAACACAGAAATACAAAGGATTGTTAACAAATATTATGAACAATTATACAGCAACAAATTCGACAGTCTAAGCGAAATGGACAAATTACTAGAAACATATAGAGTCCCAAAACTGAACCAGGAAGAGGTAGAAAACTTGAACAGACCAATAACAATTAAGAAAACTGAAGAGGTAATCAAGACTCTCCCAGCAAACAAAAGCACAGGACCAAACAGCTTCACGGGAGAACTTTACCGAACATTCAAAGAAGAACTAATACCCATTCTCCTCAAATTATTTCAAAAAATTCAAGAAGGAAGACTTCCAAACTCATTTTATGAGGCCAGCATAATTCTCATTCCAAAACCAGAAAAAGACACTACAAACAAAGCAAACTACAGGCCAATATCCCTGATGAACAAAGATGCCAAAATCCTGAACAAAATACTAGCAAATTGAATTCAGCAACACATTAAAAAAATTATTCACCATGACCAAGTGGGATTCATCCCAGGGAGGCAAGGCTGGTACAATATTCGCAAATCGATAAATGTGATACACTACATAAACAAAATGAAAGATAAAAATCATAAGATCATATCAATAGACGCTGAAAAAGCAATTGACAAAATCCAGCACCCATTTCTGATAAAAACACTTGGCAATCTGGGAATAGAGGGATCATATCTCGACATAATAGAGGACATATATGAAAGACCTACAGCCAATATCATACTCAATGGGCAAAAATTAAAAGCATTTCCCTTAAGAACAGGAACAAGAGAAGGATGCCCACTTCCGCCATTCTTATTTAACATAGTACTGGAAGTCTTAGCCACAGCAATCAGACAGGAAGAAAAAATAAAAGGGATCCAAAATGGAAAGGAGGAAGTGAAACTGTCATTATTTGCAGATGACATGATACTATATGTAGATAACCCCAAAGACTGCATCAAAAATTTACTAGACTTAATAAATGAATTTGGCAAAGTGGCAGGATACAAAGTTAATGTCAAGAAATTGACGGCATTCTCAAACAGAGAAAGACAAGTATCATATGATCTCACTTATTTGTGGAATATAATGAACGTAACAGTCTGAGGAATGGGGTAGTCCCAGAGACGTGGAAGTGGGGTACAGACTGAAAATCCCCGGGAGAGGGGATGGTGGGGGAGAGATAAACCACAGAACTTATATGCATGTATGCATGAACAATGGACATGGACAACAAAGCTGGGGACAGGGCAGGGAGGTAGGGGGAGGGGGTAATCAGTGGGGGAAAAAAGGAGAAACATCTGTAACAAAAATTTATTAATAATAAATAAATAAAATAAATTTATGACATTCTTATACACCAATAATGAACTCACAGAAAGAGAAACTAAAAAAGCAATCCCATTTACCATTGCAGCAAAAAAAAATTGATACCTAGGAATAAACTTAACCAAAGAAGTAAAGGACCTATTCACAGAAAACTACAGGTCATTGAAAAAAGAAATAGAGGAAGATATAAAAAAGTGGAAGCACATACCTTGTTCATGAATTGCAAGAATTCACATCATTAAAATGTCCATATTACCCAAAGCAATCTACAGATTCAATGCAATCCCCATCAAAATACCAACAACATACTTCACAGAACTAGAACAAATACTTCAAAAGTTCATATGGAACCAAAAAAGACCCCAAATAGCCACAGCAATCTTGAAAAAGAAGAACAAAGTTGGAGGGAGCACATTACCAGATTTCAGGTTATACTACAAAGCCACCATAATCAAAACAGCCTGGTACTGGCACTAGAACAGCCATATAGACCAGTGGAACAGAACAGAGAACCCAGAAATAGACCCAAGACAATATGTTCCATTAATATTTGACAAAGGGGGCAAGAGCATACAGTAAAGACAGCCTCTTTAATAAATGGTGTTGGGAAAACTGGACAGCTACATACAGAAAAATGAAACTAGACCATCAACTTACACCATACACAAGAATAAACTCAAAATGGATAAAAGCCTTAAATGTGACTCATGAATCCATAAAAATCCTAGAAGAAAATGTAGGCAACAAAATTTCAGACATCATACGCAGCAGAATTTTCTCAGATACATCACCTAAGGCAACAGAAACAAAGGAGAAAATGAACACATGGGACCACATCAAACTCAAAAGCTTCTGCACAGCAAAGAAACCACCACCAAAATGGAAAGGTAACCCAATCTACAGGAAAGCATAATTGCCAATGATACATCAGATAAGGGGTTAATCTCCAAAATATATAGAGTGCTCATACAACTCAACAAAAGGAAGACAAAGAACCCAATTTAAAAATGGCCAGTGGAACTAAATAGACACCTTTCCAAACAGGATGTAACAAATGGCCAAGAGACATATGAAGAAATGCTCAACATCACTAATCATCAGAGAGATGCAAATTAAAACAACAATGAGCCCTGGCCGGTTTGGCTCAGCAGTTGGAGCGTTGGCCTGCGGTTCAGAGAGACGCAGGTTCGGTTCCCGCTAAGGGCACATACCTCGGTTGCAGTTTGTCCCCAGCCCTGGTTGGTCATGCGGGTGGCAGCCACTCGATGTGTCCCTTCACATCGATGTTTCTCTCTCTCTCTCTCTCCCTCCCGCTCTATCTGAACAAAAAATGGAAAAATGTCCTCGGGTGAGGATAAAGAAAAAAACAACAACAACAACAATGAGGTGTCACCTCACACCTGTCAGAATAACCGCCATCAAGAAATCATCAAACAAGTGTTGGCGAGGGTGTGGAGAAAAGGGGACTCTAGTGCACTGCTGGTGGGAATGCAGACTGCTGCAGCCACTATGGAAAACAATATGGTGTTAACTCAAAAAATTAAAAATTGAACTGCCATTTGACCCAGTGGTCCCACTTCTAGGAATATACCCTGAGAAGCCTGAAACACCAATCAGAAAGAATGTATGTACCCTTAGGTTCGTAGCAGCACTATTTAAAATAGCTAAGATCTGGAAACAGCCCCAATTTCCATCAGTAGATGAATGGATAAAAACGCTGTGGTACACGTACACAATGGAGTACTATACAGCTGTAAGAAAGAAAGATCTCTTATCCTTTGAGACAACATGGAGGGACCTGGAAAGTATTATCCTAAGTGAAACAAGCCAAACAGAGAAAGACAAGTATCATATGATCTCACTTATTTGTGGAATATAATGAACATAACAGTCTGAGGAATGGAGTAATCCCAGAGATGTGGAAGGTGGGTAAAGACTGACAATCCCCAGAAGAGGAAGTTGGGGGGGAGATAAACCACCTAACTTATATGCATGTATGCATGAACAATGGACATGGACAATAAAGCTGGGGACAGGGCGGGGAGGGAAGAGGAGGGGGAATCAGTGGGGGGAAAAGGAGAAACATCTGTAACAAAAATAAATTAATTAAAAAAAATTAGATGAGCATACCAGTTATCACTTCTCCTCCACGATTATCTGGCTTAAGGGCTCCAAAAACAGTCTTACTTTCAATGGCACAATCCACACAGGCCTGCACAATCCGCCGGAGTACCACATTCACAGGGCCTGGGCCAAAATGGTCAGGCAACTGCTGGATTTTCTTCTGATCCAAGTGTGGGCCACAGTCTCCATGTTTGTTTATATAGACACAGACTTGAGGAAAAAATGTGTATACAGATATAACAAACAAAATTGGTTTTAAAAATCATGAATATATAGTCAATCAATATCCCACAAGCCACAATTTACTCAAGAGAACTTAAATATAGTTAATATCAATGATCATTTATTCTACCTAAAAATATGTATCTAAATATATTTTTACATCTGTGTAAAGATATTACACCTAGAAATAAATAATCTAAATGCTTATTCAATTTTCTAGAATTGCGCCCATACTGATTATAATAAAAACTACAGAACAATTTATCATACATTCCCACATTATATAACATGATATAAAGACAGATGAATATTTTTACCTTTTAACAGCACACACAGTATAGAAACTTTTCTCAAGACTGGTCATGTTAAGATAGACAGTCCAGAAATAAACCCATGCCTAATATGGTCAATTAATCTATGACAAAGGAGGCAAGAATATATAATGTGGTAAAGACAGTTTAATTTAATAAATGGTGTTGAGAAAACTGGACAGTGTAAAAAAATGAAAATAAATCACTCTCTTACACCATATACAAGAACAAAATAAAAATGGGTTAAAGACTTAAAATGTAAGACACAAAGCCATAAAATTACTAGACAAAAACATAGGCCGTAAACTCTTAACATTGCCCTTATTAATATTTTTTCCTGATGTATCTCCTCAAAGGAAGAAAAAATAAACAAATGGGACTACATCAAACTAAAAAGTGTTTCCACAGCAAAAGACATCCTACTGAATGGAAGAAGATATTCATCAATGAGACATCCGATAATGGGTTAAAATCCAAAATGTATAAAGAACTTATACAGAGTGACATCAGAGGAATGGCTGTATGAGAGATCCCCTTGGTCTCTCCCCTTGAAGTTTCAACAATTTGAACAGCTATAATTCAACAAAGGATTCCTTGCTCAATGCACAAACATGTCTGAGAGATCTATGCATTGAAACATCTGAAGGTGGGCAAGTGGGAAAAAAACAGGGAAGCAAGAAGGGAGAAGAGCCTAGAGGAGACACAGACACAGCCCTGCAACTGGAAACTCACTATAAGGCTCAGCCTGGAGAGGGGAAGAATCAGGTTGTGACTCCCTTCAGCCAGGGAGAGGCAAAGTGATTTAGTGAACATTCCTGTAAGAGTGGGAAGTACAAGCTGCGGCTGAGCTCAATGACCTTGGCAAGGATAAAGTATACAGGTGCGGCCACAGTTGTCTGGCAATTGGCATTCATAACAGAGAAACAAAGCCAAGGAGCCTGGCCACCCTCCCTTAACTTCTCAGAGCTCACCTCTGCTCACCCTTCAGGTTCAGTTGCAGAGCACATTATCTGCAAACCCGAGAACTGGTACTACAGAAACACTTTTCCCGGAGTGAAGGGCATACCCTGTGACTGACTGTGACTAATCTCAGGGTTGGGTGCAGGTCCAGGGGGAACACCACAGAGGTCCGTTGGTCACCACTGCTGGAAGGTCAAAGCAACAAAAGAGGTATCTGGGTTTCCCCAGCTCACCCCACCCCCATACATTGGTGACTGCACTGCTAAGGGAGTCTGGCTTCGGGGGACAGCACTGGGATTTCACAGGATCCATAGCCCACCTCATTACCCTGAGGGGTTGGCCGGCAGGGACCAGAGCAACCTGATCACAAGAAAGCCACACAACTTCCCCAGGGAACACAGGCCATTTTCCACCAACCAGCAGAGATCTGAAATGCCAGAGCAGTCCAAGAGAGAGAGAGAGAAACTTGTAATTCAGCACCACCTTCTAAAAAAACATAGAAAGGCTTCTTCTTATCAATGTACTAGAGCAGTGATTTTCAACCTTTTTCATCTCATGGCACATATAAACTAATTACTAAATTCTGCATCACACCAAAAAATATATTATATTTTTTGCCAATCTGACAAAAATATAGGTATAATTTTGATTCATTTACACCACATGGCTATTGTACTGACTGTTGTCATTTTTTAATTTGCCAATCTAAGGGAAAAGCAGTCAGTGGACCCTGACTAAATAGTCAGGTATTGCATGTTTTAAAAATTCTTACAGCACACCAGGACACTGGTTTAAAATTGCTGTACTAAAGAAGGACCACTCAACATAGTTACTTAAACAGAGCAGGAATAGATCAAATACCACGAATAACCAAGTAACAAGGCAGCTGAGATAGAAAAATATATATATATATCTCCAGAAAATTAAAACATAAAGACATGGAAATGTGTGATTTAAATGACAGAGAATTTAAGATTGCAGTTCTGGTAATGGCGGGTGTGGTCCAGTTGGTTGGAGCATCGTCCAATACACAGAAAGGTGGTGGGTTTGATTCCTGGTCAGAGCACATACCCAGGTTGCAGGTTCGATCCCTGGTCAGGGCACATTTGGGAGGCAACTGATTGATGTTTCTCTCTCACATCACTTCTTCTCTCTCTCTCTAAAATCAACTTCAAAACCTCAATTTAAAAAAAGATTGCAGTTCTGAAAAAAACTCAATGTGATGTAAGAAAACACAGATAGGCAATTTAATGAAATCAGAAACAAAATCAATGAATAAAACAAAAGCAAGTACATTACCAAAGAGATTGAAAATTTTAAAAAGGACCAAATAGAAATTCTGGAGATGGAAAATTCAATAAAAGAGAAAGAATTAACTAGCAAGCACAGGAAATAGAGCTGAGCAGATGGAGGAAAGAATCAAGGATATCAAAGATAGAAATATAGAAATGACACAGAGAGAGAAGAAAGATTTGAGCATGAAAAAAAAAAAAAAAAACATAAAAAAAATAGCCCTGACTGGTTTGGCTCAGCGGTTAGAGCGTCGGCCTGCAGTCCAGAGAGACCCGGGTTCGGTTTCCGCTAAGGGCACATACCTCGGTTGCAGTTTGTCCCTGGCCCTGGTTGGGTCGTGTGGGTGGCAACCACCCGATGTGTCCCTTTCACATCAATGTTTCTCTCTCTCTCTCTCTCTCTCTCTCTCTCTCTCTCTCTCTCTCTCTCTCTCTCCCTCCCTCCCTCCCTCCCACTCTATCTGAACAAAATATTGAAAAATGTCCTCAGGTGAGGATAAAAAAAAAAAAAAACTCTATGAGAACTATCTGACTCAATCAGAAAGCATAGTATAAGAATAACAGGTATACCAGAAGAAGGGATAAAGGAACAGAAAGCCTATTCAAACAAATAGTTGATGAGAACTTACCAAAACCTATGGGAAGTGCTAGATACTTGAATCTAAGAAGCAAACAGAACATCTAATTTTCTCAATCTAAAAAGGCCTTATCCAAGGCAGATTGTGTTAAAACTGTCAAAAATTAATGACAAACAAAGAATTCTCATGGCAGTCAGGAAAAAGAAGAAAGTAACCTATAAAGGAAAGCCCATTAGGTTATCATCAGACTTCTTCTCAGAAACTCTACAAGCCAGAAGAGAGTGGAACCAACATTCAAACTACTGAAGGAGAGAAATTACCAGTCAAGAATAATGTATCCAGCATTATCCTTTAGACATCAAGAAAAAAATAAATAGTTTTCCAGACATACAAAAGCTGAGGGAATCTATCACCAAAACACCTCCATTGCAGGAAACCCTCAATGAAGTTATTCTACCTAAAACAAAAACTAAAATGGTCACAAAACTATGAGTAACATCACCAAAAAACTTACAAAATAAATATAGATAATTTGTGACAACAAAAATATAAAAGAGGAGGGGATGAATGTCTGAATTTGCAAACAGGGATGGAGATTAGATACATTCAAAAGAAAAATAATCACTGTATATATTAAACTTTCTTTTCACACACACACACACACAAAACTGAGACATATAACTTAAAAAAGGAGCTAACAGAGGAAAACAGTATGGAATATCAACAAACAGAAACAACAGACAGAAACACGAAGGAAAAGACCAATGGAGGCACAGAGCTACCAGAAAACAAAGGATAAAATGGCTATAGGAAAACCTCATACATCAATAATTACCCTAAATGTAAACTGACTGAATTCACCAATAAAAAGGCAAAGAGTAACAGATTGGATCAATAAAAAAAAAAAAAAAAAAAAAAAAAAAAAAAACAACTACTATATGCTGCTGCTTTCAGGAGACACAGCTAAGCTGCAAAGACAAAGACAGACTCAAAGTGAAATGGTGGAAAATGATTCTCTAAGCAAATAGGATCCACAGAAAAGCAGGTATAGCTATACTTATATCTGACAAAATAGATTTCAAGATAACAAACATAAAAAGAGACAAAGATGGACATTATAGAATGATAAAGGGGACACTATATCAAGAACACATAACACACTGGACAGGTACATGCAAAAAAAAAAAAAAAAAGAAACTAGACCACCAACTTACACCATGCTCAAGAATAAACACAAAATAGATAAAGGACTTAAATGTAAGTCATGAAAACATAAAAATCTTAGAAGAAAACATAGGCAATACAATCTCAGACATCTCTTGTAGCAATACTTTTGCCAATATAACTTCTTAGGCAAGGAAAACAAAGGGAAAAAATAAACAAGTGGAACTACATAAAACTGAACAACTTTTGCACAGCAAAAGAGAATATCAAATGAAAGGAAATCCACTGACTGGGAGAACATATTTGCCAATGATACATCTCAGAAGGGGTTAATTTTCAAAATAAACAAAGAGCTTACACAACAACACCAGGAAGATAAACAACCCAATTAAAAAATGGGCAAATCAGTCAGAGAAAGACAAGTATCATATTATCTCACTTATTTGTGGAATATAATGAACAAAATAAGCTGATGAACAAAACAGATAGAGACATGGAAGTAGGGAACAGACTGACAAATTTCAGAAGGAAGGGCAGTGGTGGGGGGAAAAGAGATAAACCAAAGAACTTAAATGCACGACCAATGGGCACTAAGAACAGTGCAGTGAAGGTGGAGTAGGAGGTGGGGCAGGAGCGGGTAGAAGAGTGTCAATGGGGAAAAAAAGGAGGGACATCTGTAATAC